CTCTATCCTGGCATGGCAAAGTATAGAGCCTTGCCAAGCTTATTTACCAAAGAAATGACTCTAATATTAAGCACCAAGATATAATAAACAGAGCTAAAGCCGTAGATAGAGTTGCAGCTGAAGATGACTGAGGCATGGTGCCTGCATTTGGTGTCGTTGTAGTCCTAGGAGTTGTCGGAGAAGCTGTAGTGCTGGATGTTGGAGAAGTAGTGGTTCCCGACGGTGTCGTCGTGGTTGCTCCGCCTCCCGCTGCGGCTGCGACGGTGACAGCAAGTTTCATTCCACCACTGCAATGGCCAGGTACACCACAAATGAAGTAATGCTTGCCGGCTTTCTTAAGTGCAATTGTTGTAGCGCCACTACTGTCAGTAGTGATCGAGTTTCCAGTAGTGCATGATTTGTAGTCATTTTCACTTACTTCATCTACTGTATGCCCACTTGGGTAGTTGAATACTGCAGATTCATCAACCCAAATCATAAAATCATTATAGTTTCACAGGCGAAGCGGTGCAAATTTCACAAAATTTAAATAAACAGTGGGGCGAAATTGAAAACTACTTTACGGTTAACACTTACCGAGGTTGTCGCCAACGACAAAGGTTTTGCCAGTAGTCCAAGTACTGTAATCAGCGCCGATTGCCCAACCAGACGTGTCTCCCACTGTGTAATCAGTGGCCTGGCTAATTGGGACACCACAAAAAACTATTAAGAAGATTAAACTGACAATTAATCCTGTAAAGTCTGCCATGCTTTGTTCCTGTGTTAGTTTGAGTATAGGAGATAAAGAGAGAGTTTGAGGAGCCCTTAAATACTCAAAAAGATAAAGGATTGGCTGCTTGCATTGAAAATGGTTGTGGAGATGATGATAACTTAAGATAGACTCTATGCCTAAAAGGACGAGAAAGTAAGTATTCATTTTCTTGAGGTTGCTGATTTATCAGTTAATTATTATGCTTGGAAGGGGTATTGAGAGTCTAGAAACACTACAATGCATGTTTAGACAATATTGGTGAATGGTTGATTCAATATTACGCCTTCGTTTGGTTTCAAAAAAATAATTATTTTTATAAGTTATTTGTATGAAGAATTTGAAAGTATTACTTACTTATTCGTCACTCATTTTTAACGACTTATGATTTTAGCGGAAAAGAATTTAAGCTAAACAAAAGTTACTTCTTGAGCTTTTATGATTAGTTATTAATTAAAAGAATACGTTATTGTTAGTCACTTCGATAGTTCTCGTTATTAAATTTAACATTCTAATCCTCTGTTTCCTCATGCTTTTAAGTAAATGTGACAATTAATTATATAGTTGTTGTAAAAACATGAAATTATGGATGAATGTAGGCTATAAATAGTATAAATTTAAAAATATGGTACATGAATTGTTTGAGCCCCATTTTTTTGATAAGAATGAATTTTTGAATAGTGTATTGATGAGAAATGTGTAGTTAAAAAAATAAGAAAAAGTTTTAGATTTACGTGTAATATTATTTTATTGAATAATGTGTGGTTGAAATGATGTCAAAACATTGTTTAAGAATATATATATATATATATATATATATTATTTTTTTTTTCCAAAAAATGGGAATCAGACGGGGCGAAATGAAATTACACCAAACACGTTTTGGAAATTTCCTCAATATAAATTAGGAGTGTCAACAAGTCGAGCTGCTAGCTGCCTTTCAAAAGGCAGCAGCTAGTTGCTATAAATTTTTTTTTCCTTATTTCGAGCAGGCCCGCAAGCCACACGGGTCGGCTCGAGTTTTTTACGGGCCAGTCAACACACCACTCGAGCCCCGAGCGAATTTGCTATCCCTAATATAAATGAAACATTAGTATTTTAATCTTTTATTGTTACAACTTAATTATAAGAATTAATTAGTTACAATAACTTGAGAATTATATGAAGTAGGTGAAAAGGGATATTCCTAATTTCTTTTCATAAACCTTTCGCTAACACCATAATTAGGGGAATGATATCATGACAAGAAATTATATTCTAAGCATGAAAGTTTTGATTTTTATGGATAAAGTATGCTTTTAAATTAAAAGTTAAGCAAAACAAGAACTGCTCACCTAACAACCCACCCAAATTTCTGAGTCTTACCCAGCACATGCCCAGCTCGAGAATGGTATCTTAGGCCATCTCCAACCACAACACCAATACACCACCTTTTCCAGTTTTCACCATATATTTGGTGCAATTTCACTCCAACCCAAAACCAAATTTTGCACCATTTTGACCAATGTTGATAAAAGTCCTTTTTGCCCATTTTTCATTTAGCACCAAATGATATCAAGGGTATTTGTGTCATTTTACATTATATATAAATTTTAATTCTCAATTAATTATTACTATTATTAATCGTAATAAACTTTAATCCTGGAATCAATAATAATCGAGAAATGAATTAAAGTAAAGCTACTCAAAAAGTTTTAAAATGCAACAAGCATGATTATTTACGACACTGGGTTGACTTTGTCGTATCATAATGTGGATATTCGAAATGTATTATGTTGTTTTTAATAACATGATTTAATATTTCTTAGTTGTAGTCTTTTTATTAATTGTACTACATTTTTATAATTTATTAACAAATTTAATATTTTCAAAAATGAAATGTAATTATTTATGCAGCAGTAAATTAACTAAACAACTAGTTTTTCAGATATAAATTGTTAAGAATAAAAAAAAGTAAAGAAAATGATTAAATAATGTTCATTGAGTGAACTTTTGGTGTAATGAGTTGGATATGGTTTTTAGTTTAATGTAAAATTTGTTGTAAAATTGGAGATGGCCCTGGGTTCAAGAATCCAACAACTATTTTAATGAGAATCACTATTAATTTATTATTATCTCTTAATTTTTCACTTATTTTTCCTCAACATTTTCCAACTTTGTTGAAACCATGTTAGCCTTTTGAGAAGATTTCTTTTAGTCGAGTTGAGATTTGTAGTTATCACTCACCTTCACTCAAATTTTAGTACCTCATTACATCAATTCTAAGTACAAAATACCAAGATGGCAATTCAAAGGTGACATCACTTGTATTTTACTATGTGGCATCTTGCTATTTGCTCTTCCAAATTGATATAACTATACTTTTGTCTGGTGTAAATTAAAATCAGATTTTGAGTATATTTCGTCAAAAGTTAATAAAATGTGTAATTGAAAAGTTGTGCATCCCATGAAATGTATAATTAAGATTAATTATTGACTTTAACTTGATATTTTTAACAGATTTTAATGTACACAAAATAAGAGAATAATGTCAAAATTTGGCTGTCCCTATCTTATAATTTTGGTCATTCTCATGACTAAATAATTTGTTGGAAATAGATAATGTGGAGGAAGATATTGAGCCAACTAATATTTGATTGAACTAATAAAAGGAATATTAAATTCAGAATAATGATGGAAAATCCTTTTATTGCAAAACGCAAAGCAAATTGTGAAGGCCTGAAACTTACGGATACAAATGGGACCATGGTGGTTGAATTCGCTTCTTGTAATGCGATGATGGAGACTAAGAATCCATCCACTTATAGTAATTGTAGTTTAGATGGTTGTCTGGGCCCTTGATTAATGGTTCAATCAATAAATAGCATTACTCTTCCACTTTATTATCTTGCAAGAATGATAATTGTTGGACATCATCATTGATATTATACAATTACAATAATTTTTGTTCTCCTCTTTTCTTTTATTATACACGATTGAATTAAATAAATGTTATCATGGATAGCCCTTCTGAAAGACATATTCTTTGGACCATTTGTATACTTTTATTTATAAATAATGTTAACCTTAGAGCTAATATGAAATTTTACTTGATAAAACCAATGTTAATTTTACTTTATATAACTCTTCTTCTAAAACAAATATAGGACAATGTTAATTTTACTTGATAAAACCAACGCTTGATTGTACTCCTCTAAAATGAAAGATATTGAACAGGAAACTTGAAAGTAAATTGGAAACTATTTTAACATATTTTGGAGAGGAAAGAATTAGAAATCAATTATATAAAATTAATTTGGAGTGAAAAAAAGAAAAAGAAAAAGAAGGAATTAGTAGGATCCTGTTTATAAATTTCCATGTATCACTTCCTAACTATCGCATCTTTTGGTAAAATTAATTTCAAATATTAAACCATACAATTTCAAAATTGATGGTCTAGATTGCATTGTATCAAAAGAGTATAACTAATTATTACTCACTTTTTTCACTTAGAGATGTCAATCAGACTTGTTGGCTCAGCTCGTGGCTTGATGAAACCAAGCCAAGGCTCGAACCGAGCTTTTTTTCAAATGATGTCTCGAGCCCAAGTAGACCCATGTGGCTCCTTGTGCCACACAGTCAATCTGTATGGTAGGTCAAAATGGTCATGAACGGGCCATTTTTTGCCCGTATAACAGGCCTGGTTGTCTGCTTGAAGCAGCTGCATAGTGTCTGAAGCAGGCAGCTACTTGCTGATTGATTGCTTGCCAGAAAAGCAATAGGCTGCTTCAAGTCTCAATAATTGTCTTCTTTAGGCAGCTGTTAGACTATTTCAGGCAAGTGGTTGCATTTTGCTTATCTTTTAAAAAAATAAAAATTAAAAAAAATAAAAAAGGAAAAGGAAAAGAAGAAGAAGAGGAAGAAGGAGGAGGAGGAGGAGGAGGAGGAAAAAAATCGGCTCGGCTCAGTAAAGCTCAAGCCTAAAGTTTGAGCCAAGCATTAGTTTTTCGATCGAGCTTTGGCTCGATTAGACTCGAGTGCCTAAGCCGCGATCTTTGGCTCAAGAGCAGGCTCAACTCGGCTCGTTTACATCCTTATTTACACTTAAAAAGTCAAATCTAATCATGTACGTATTGGAGACTTTTACAATTCATATGGTTTAATTCTTATATTACCTAAAATTTCAACAATCCTCTACATGAATGGAAACATTTGATTCAAAACTAGGAAGATGAAGAAGATATAACTGAAATATAATACATTAGGATGGATAGCCTTCACGTTGAACCTTCCAAAGTAAGAATATATCGGACTTACTTGGCCAATTGGTGAGAGTAACATTTTGAATTGTTGGCTTTTATTGTAAAGTCTAGAAAATAAATCAAACACATTATCATTCATTTATAACTTTAGTTCTCTATTATATTCATTATTTTCTTAGATCTATTATGTACGTTATTTTCGTCTTGAACCTTCTTAGTTCTGTATGTGCACTAGAGAATTTTCCTAAGTACAATTATTATAGAATAGAACCAACCAAGTTCATGCTCACATAGATAATGTTCTATAAAGAGTACTCTAGAATGCTCCGCTTATACTATCTATAAAATATTGTCATTATTGAAAGCAAGGCATAGCCTAATCAAACTTTGGTAGGCAGCACTCATTGACATTATAGAAATGGGGAGGAGTCAAAACCTCAAAGTGCTTCTCATTGAGTCAAATATAACTAATTTTTCTATTGAACCTGGTACGTGAGATCTCCAGTCATCAGGTTAGATTTCCATTAAACTGGCCTATTAGTTTAGACTTCACACTCATTTTTTTTTTATGCGTAGTTTATTCTCTCAAAATAACCTATTTGTAAACAATCCAATAGGTTATTCTTCAATAAAACAATCAGTATTGTTCAATTTGAGAGTAACTATCAAATAATATCATATCTACGACATATTTGTTGTGACTTATCATTAAACATGATATTTTGTGTCATTCCATTTGTAGCAAGCTCTCTCAATTAAATCATAAGCACAAATTGTCACCAATTAGAATTTTTTTTTTCAAAATCATTCAAGCCGTCATTCTTCTTTCTAAACTAATAAAAATCTCTAAGTTCTTTCAGTTCTCACATCGTATTAAGGATTTTTACAAAACAACTACACTCATAATAGTAGAGCATATTTACTAATAGATTTTGAATCTTTGCATTGAATATCCAACTTTAAACATTATGTGCA